GGAATAGTAACAGTGATAGTAACAATAATAGTGATAGTAGCAATAGCAATACCAATAGTAATAGTAACAATGATAGTAACAGTAATACTAAAGGTAATACTAGGAATAAACACTAATAATAGTAATGATGGTAGTAATAATAGGAATAATAACAGTGATAGTAACAATAATAGTAATGGCAATACCAATGGTAACAGCAACAGTGATAGCAACAGTAATAGTAATGATAATAGTAGCAGTAACAGTAGTAATAACAGCATTAGTAACAGTAATACTAATTGTAATAGTGATAGTGATAATACTCATAGTAATGGTAATACTAATAATAGGAACAATGGTACTAATAGTAAAAATTGTAACGATAATAATAGTAATGGTAACAATAATTCTAATAGTAATAGTGATAATGGTAACAGCACTAATAATAATACTAATAGTGAGGAACATTAATTTTAATGCTATATCATTTGATTATTAATAATGATTTGTAATGTTCCCCTCTCTGTTCAAAAGGCCATTTCTTAGTTAGCTTAAAGAGAAATCCCTCCCAGCACATTTTAGCACAGGAATGCTTTTGTTTGTAAGATAGAAGCCCAAGGAGGATATTTGGGTGCTGGGAGTGATTTACATTCCTCAGCTCCCCCTCTACTCCCAGCCTCCCAGACATCTATCTGGGCATCTATCCTATAAACAAAAGCAAGGGCAGGGACTTTTTGTTTACTCTGTAAAAACAAGCCAGCCAGAGCCAGATCTTCCCACAGGGACCTGTTTCCTTGTCCTCGCTATTCCCTCTCATCAAGACTTGGAGTGACTATGGTAACAGTGATAGTAATAGTAATGGTAACAGTAATGCTAGTAGTACTAGTAACTGTACCAGTAATAGTGTTACAGTAATACTAATAGTAATACTAAAGGTAACAGTAATATTAATATCAATAGTAACAGTAATACTAACAGTGATGGTAATAGTAATACTAATGGTAGTCGTAGTAATGGTAGTAATAGTAAAGGTGTGCAACCTGAATAGTAATAGTAACAGTAATACTAATAGTAATGGTGATAGTAATACTAATGGTAGTAGTAGTAGTAATGGTACAGTAATATTAATATCAATAATAACAGTAATGCTAAGAGTCCTGGTAATAGTAATACTAATGGTAGTAATAATAATGGTACAGTAATATTAATATTAATAGTAACAGTAATACTAATAGTGAAGGTTATAGTAATACTAATGGTAGTAATAGTAATGCTAACAGTAATATTAATATCAATAGTAACAGCAATACTAATAGTCCTGGTAATAGTAATACTAATGGTAGTAGTAGTAATGATACAGTAATATTAATATTAATAGTAACATTAATGTTAATAGTGACGGTAATAGTAATACTAACGGTAGTAGTAGTAATGGTAGTAATAGTAAAGGTACACAACCTGAATAGTGATAGTAACAGTAATACTAATAGTGATGGTTATAGTAATAATAATGGTAATAATAGTAATGGTACAGTAATATTAATTGTAATAATAATAAAAGCTAGCCTTTACAAAGTACCTTAAGATGCTCAAAGCACTTTACATATGTTCACTAAGTTGATCCTCACAATGACCCTGGGAGGTAGGTGTTATTATAGATGAGGAAACTGAGGCAGAGAGAGGTGAAGTGACCAACTAGCTGTCTCTATAAGCTGCCCAGCTGCCTCCTTCAGATGCTTACCAGCCAGTTAGTTTTTAACTTATTAACTTTGCCTGGCCCTCCCCAGGGCAGAGGGGACACTTCCTGCCTTGTCTTCCTTCCTTTCTAAGGAAGAAATAAACACACTGCTGAGACAAATGACAGGCTGCAGAAACAGGAAGGACTTGAAAGTTTACTAGCCCAGGCACCAAACACCTTAATTTATGGATGAGGAAATCGAGGCCCAGAGAAATGAAGTGACCTTTGCCCAACACAGGCGGTAAGGAACAGAGCCTAGAGACAAACACAAGCCCGGCCTTCAAAGGTCCAGTGCCCTGTCTGGACACTCAACTTGTCCCAAACTGAACTCATTCCCTTTGCCCCCAAACCCTCCCTTCTTCCTGACCTCCCTATGGCTGTGGCGGGGTTGGGGGGCAGCTCCATCCTCCTGGTCAGCCTGGCTCCTAACATTGGGGTCTCCGACTTTATTAAATGCCTCCTCTGTGCAAGATGCTACACTGACAGCTGGAGCCACAGAGACAAAAATGTAAAACAACCCCGCCTTCTAATGTGGATAGAGTGAGGGGAAGGGAGGGGCTTGAGTCAGGAAGACCTGAGTTCAAATCCAGACTCAGGCACTTATTGGCTATGTGACTTGTGTTAGCCTCAGTTTCTTTATTTCTAAAATGGGCATAATAACAGTACCTCCCTCCCAGGGTTGTTGTGAGGATGAAATGAGATCATATTTGGAAAGCGCTTAGCACAGTGCCCGGCACATAGTAGGTGCTATATAAATGGTTATTATTATTATTATTATTATTATTGTTCTCATTTTGGGGGGGGGGAGACAAGGGGAATAATAGGTAAACAAATATGTAGATACCTCTTCACAAAAAAGCATATAATGATAAGAGTGATGATATTGTGGAAAGATGCCTGGAGTCAGGACATGGGTTCAAATCCCCTCTCTACTGTTTTATCACTTATGTGACCTTGGGCAAGTCACTTAACTTTACCTAGTATCAGCCAGGGTGATGTAATGGATAGATCTTTCTGACCTTGGAGTCAAGAAAACCTCAATTCAAATCCCATCTTAGACACTTAATAGCTGTGTGATCCTGGGCAAGTTCCTTGGCCTATCTGAGCCTCAGTTTCTGACTCTATAAAATGGGGATGGGAGCAGCTAGGTGGTGTAATGGATAGCACGCTGGCCCTGGAGTCAGGAGGACCTGAGTTCAAATCCGCCTCAGACACATAACAGTCACTTGGGCAAGTCACTTAACCCCAATTGCCTCGCCAAAAAAAAAAAAAAAAGAGAGAGAGAGAGAAATAAAATGGGGATGAAGATAGCATCCATCTCTCTTGTGGACAGAACACAGGACCGCATTTAAACCCTGCCTCAGACACATATTAGCTGTGTGGCCGTGCCTCAATGTCCTCATCTGTTAAATCATAATAGTAACTACCTCATATCACACAGTATCATAAAATCATAACAGCAACTTTCTCACCCAGTAGTTGTGAGGATCAAATAACATGTAAAGTGTTCTGCAAACCTTAAAGAACTTTATAAATGCCAACTACTCTAAGTCCATACCAAAAATGAGCAGCAATAATTCCAATTCCTATAATGCCTGAAGTTGGACAAAGTGTCTTCCAACCCACCCCCCTTGTCAAGTCCTTGCTTTGCAGGGAGGGTCAGTCCCATTTCCTCCTGCACCGCCATCTAGCGGTCTCCCACCCCTAATACTCACGTCCACGTCCACCGTGCTGTTCATCCCTTCCTGGACAGCTCGGGGGCCTGGGCTTTCTGCCGCCTGGGTAGCTGGACCAGCCCCCAGCACAGGGCATGTGTCTCTCAGGAGGAGCCATAACCAGCCCAGCAGCTGGAGGTGGCTCGGGGCCCAACTGCCCCCCATGAAAACGGCTATCCTGCCCTGTTGGGGGGCTGCCTCTATCCTCAGAGGCTGGACCCTCGACTTCCACTAGCCAGCAGGTCCAACAGCCTGGGGAGAGGAAAAAGAAAACATTCTGGGCTGTAACAGGAAGGAGACTTCCCGCCCCTCGTCTAAAAAGCAAGAAAACGTTTTTTAAAAATCATGTGCAGTGAGCTCAGTATTTCTCAATCTCCTGGTGAAAAGAAAAAAACACTGTTTCTGGGTGACCACAAATTGCTACAGTCTCTCCACAAGTAACTTGCTTTTTGGGCCTGGGCAGGGCCTGGGCAACCCAGCCCACTGGCCACCCCTGTCCCTAGGCTCTGCCCTGCCCCCAGGCCACCCATGTCCCTGGGTACTCCAGCTCCCTGGCCACCCCTGTCCCTGGGTATCCCAGCCCCTGGGCTCTGCCCTGCTCCCTGGCCACTCCAGGCCCCTGGGCTCTGCCCTACCCCCTGGCCACCCGTCCCTGGGTATCCCAGCCCCTGGCTTCTGCTCTGTCCCTAAAGGGCTAGTCTTTCCTTCATAGCTCACATGTGGTGTTTTAAAATTTGCAAAGGTTAATTTTACATGTCATCCCATTTGATCTTTTGGGTCAGGGAACCATATGTTGAGGTTTAGGGATGCTAGGAACCTGAAATAGCGATGCAGGTTCTGCCTTGAATGAATTCAACCCAAGCCTTCTTTCAGCAAAAAACAAGGTTTATTAAAACCCCGTCAGGTGGTGCAGTTAGGTGGCCCAGTGGATAGATCACTGAACCTGAAGTCAGGAGGACCTGAGTTCAAACCTGGCCTCAGACACAAAACACTAGCTGTGTGACTCCGGGCAAGTCACTTAACTCCAATTGCTTCACCCCAAAACAAACAAACAAACAAAAAAAAAAAACACCAGTTAGGGCGGGCATGATTCTAAAAATCCACCATATTTACTGGACTCTTAAGGACTCTAAGCACCTTAATGGAGGCAAGACGGATCTTATATACAGAAAGACTGTGGGAGGGATCTAGGTGTGGCCAAGTAGTCTGGTGTGACTGGGAGGTAACAGAGAAGGCCAGGTGCTGCCAGGAACCAAGGGAAAATGCGGAATTATAGGGTGAGAGATTAACCTAAGACATAGAGTTGAAGTGGCTTGCTCTTGGGGTCACAAAGCTAATCTGTGTCAGAGGAGTGATTTGAACCCAGGCCTCCAGGACTGCAAGACCAGCTTGAAGAAGATTCCCCTGCTTGAGCTGCTGGTTTTGTAACTGTACTTTAAGGTCACCCCAACCATTCTGATTGCTGTATGTGCAATGATGGGTACTAATGAGGCTTTTGTTCAGTCAGTTTTTAGGTGGGTCTGACTCACAGTGACCCCATGTGGGGTTTCTCTTGGCAATGATACTGGAGTGGTTTGCCATTTCCTTCTCCAGCTCATTTTACAGATCAGGAAACAGAGGCAAATAGGGTTAAGTGACTTGCTCAGGGTCACACAGCTAGTAAATGTCTGAGGCTACATTCCAACTCAGGAAGAGGAGTTTTTCTGACTCCAGGCCCTGCACCTTATCCACTGCACCACCTAGCTGCCCACTAATGAGACTGATACCTCAGAAAACAAATCAATAGCAGCACTGGAATGGGGCACCAGGAGACCAAGAGGCTAGTCTCGGCTCAGGCTTTAATTCAGTCTCAGGCAAATTCCTTCCCTTCTCTGGACCTCAGTTTCCTTTTCTGTAAAATGAAAGTAGAGAGCTGGAGAGAAGAGCAGGGGATTTATGGGGTCTGTGAACTTTTTAAAAAAACTTATTTTGAGAAATATAATTGGTCTCCTTTGTAATTCTGTGAATTTTACCTTAGACATTTAAAAACAGGATTCTGAGATCCTTAAGGTCTCCAGCATAAGGGGGGGCACACCCATCCAAGCTGACTACTCTTGATAAATCATTTCCACATCCCCCTGGAATGAATTCCCAAAGTTTCTGCCAGAGGCTCAGACAACTTCCAGCAGGGGCAAGGTCTTTTCGGAATGGGATGAGAGTTGTGTGTGAGGTGAGAAGCGGAGTCTCTCCTTTCCGGGCCACCCTGGCCCCCTCTTGCCCTCCTTCTCCTCCTCCAAGCCTCCCCTGAGTCAGTCTTTGCAAAAAGGGTGGGGTGGGAGGGGAGGGGAGGAGGTGCTGCGGCAGCTCCCAGGGCTCCAAGTTAGGCAACCCCGCAAAATTGACCCAAAGCCGATGTGAGGTGTGCCCCAGCGCTTGGCTGGAGGAGGAGCTGGGGGAGGAGACAACTTTTTGCCTCCATTCCGGGATCCCAGGCCGGATTCCCCAGCAATATTCCCCAACTGAGGGGACATCCCACCCCGTCCCTCTTCTGTCTTTCCCCAGCTGGAAGGGGTCCCACTCCTCCTGGAGGGGGGCTCACCCCCTATGCTCCACCCCACTGAAGGGATGCCCACTCCCAGTCTCCTCGCAAAGAAAGGGGGCCTTATCTGCTCCCCTATCTCATTGGTGGGGTGTCCACCCCGTCTCCCCGCAAAGAAGAGGAGCCCACTTCCTGGGAAAGGAACTCACCCCCTCTCTTTCACGGAGGGATGCCCTCCCCTCGTCTTCTCACAAAAAGCGGGGCTCACCCCTACAGGAAGGGGCTCACCTTCTGTCCCCCACCCCACTGGAGACGGACTGCCCCCCTATAAACCCGCTCCCCCGGAGGGGTCTTCTGTCCCTCGCACTACAGGTGGGGGGCTTCACCCCCTGTCCCCTCCCACCCGGGGCCCAGGTCTCACCTCCCGCTCGCATGGCCCCTGGCCCACAGTCTGCCCCGCCCGACTGGGCTGGCTCAGCTCCCCGCTGCCGCCTCCTCTTCCTCCTCCCCCTGTCCCCCGGCCCGGCCCAGTCCCCTCCCCTCTAGGCCCTGTCCCACCCCCTCGGCTCCTTAAAGGGGGCCCGCGCGCCGCACGACCTTCAACTTGGCCGAGTGCTCCCCGCCGCTGCCAGGAGCTCGGACCCAGCCCCGCGCTGCCGGTTGGCCTCCAGTTCAGAAGGGCAAGAATACAGTCCAGAGACTGATGGAGAGGCTTCCCTCCCCCTCGGTGGACCGATCGTAAAATCCACGGGCTAGTTTGAAAGAGGTCTAGGTCCAGCTACTGGTGATGGGGGTCGGGGGTGGGGGGGGACCTACAGCTTCTCCACTGGGTTAGGAAGAGAGAGGGCGAGAAGTCCCAGGGTCTCTATAAAGCATCCAGGATGCCCTGGACCCCAAGATCTCCTCCTCCCCATCTGGGAGGTCTGAAGTCCCTTCGGCACTTCAACCCCTTCGGGTTGCCTTTTCTGAGCTCTTTTAAGATAAAGGGAGACTAAGAAATGGGGAATTGGGAGGCCCCCCCTTTATTTTTTACTTTTTTATTTTTTTTGGTGGCGCAATTAGGGTTAAGTGACTTGTCCAGAGTCACAAAGCTAGTGAGTGTTATGTGTCTGAGGTCACATTTGAACTCCACATTCTCCTGACTCCAGGGCCACCTAGCCATAGCCCCCTCCCCACAAACACTTCCTTTATAGAGGTGGTGGGCTAGGGGGTGTGGATTGTTTACTACATTGCCATACTCAGTTGGGTTAGTTTTGTTGAACGGCTGTGGTTTTCTTTTTTCTTTTGCTCCAACAGACGGCTTTCTGGGTGGGTGGAAGTCTGAGAAGGGATTTCTTCACAAATAAGAGATGTAAAAAAAAATCAGTAAAAATTAACTTTAAAAAATGCAGACCACAGTAGCCCTCAGTCTCAAAGGATACTACAAAGCAGCCATCATCAAAACAACTTGGTGCTATTTAATAAGAAAAGGGAAGGGGAAGGGAACAAGCATTTATTAAGCTCCTACTATTTGCCAGGCCCTGTGATAAGCACTTTACAGATAATCTCATTTGATCCTCACAACAACCCTGGGAAGTAGGTGCTATTATTATCCCCATTTTACAGTTTAGAAAACTGAGGCAGCCAGAGGTGAAGTGACTTGACCAAGATGAATCAGTGGACAGATTAGGCACACTATAATCAGAAGCAAACAGACGCAGTAACATAATGTTCCATAAACTCTAGGAACCCAGTTATTGAAGTAAGGATTGACTATTTGGCAAAGAGCTAAGGGAAAAACTGGACTGCTTTCTGGCAGAAATTAGGTAAAGACCAACATTTCTCACCATGTAGCCAGGGTATACTCCAAATGGATACAAGACTTAGATTTAAAAGTATGGGGCAGCTAGGTAGCACAGTGGATAAAGCTCTGGCCTTCGTGTCAGGAAGACCTGAGTTCAAATCTGACCTCAGACCCTTGACCCTTACTTAACTGTGTGACCCTAGGCAAGTCACTTAACCCTAATTACCTCACCAAAAAAGCAAAGACAAAAAGTGACCTTGTAAGCAAATTAGAGGAACAAGGAGGAAATTACCTTTTTGATCTATGGAAAGGGGAAGAGCTCATGACCAGACAAGGGATAGAGAAGTCAACAAACTTTTTTTAATATTTTGTTGTATTTTTGTTTATTTTCAACAAACATATATTAAGCAAGATCCTGTACTAAGTTTTGGGAACATGGAGAAAAGGCAAATTGAGCCCTTGGAGACACCATGTAAACAACTACACACAAACAAGAAATACACAAGAAAAACTGGAGATAATCTCAGAGGAAAAAGGACTAAGCATTAAGGGGAACCTGGAAAGACTTCTTGAAGAGGGTGGGATTTGAGTGGAGAACTGAAGGAAAATAAGGAAGCCAGGAGGTAGAGATGAGGAAGGAAAGAAGGATAAAATGGATAAAGATAAAAGATAAAATGGATATTTTGTATTATATAAAATTATACAAGCAAAACCAATATAGTAAAATTAGATGGAAACTAACTGGGAAAAATAACTTAGCAGCAAGTTTTTCTGATAAAGGTCTCATATGCAAGATATGTAAGTATAAGACTAAGAGCCATTCCCCAATAAATAAACGATCAGAGGATGTGAATCATTTTCAGAAGAAATGTACACTATCAATAGTCATGTGAACAAAAGTTCCATAACAGAGAAATGAAAATTAAGACAACTTGGGCTCTAGCAAACACCCATTATATTATCAAAGATGACAAAAGAAGAAATTGGTAAATGTTGGGGGGGGGACTGCTGGAAAATAAATACAGTCCTTTTGGAAAGCAATTTGGAACTATGCCCCCCAAATCTCTAAACTGTGCACACTCTTTGACCAGCTAGATCACTATAGGGCCCATACCCCTAAGAGAGGAAAAAGATCCCTATGTACAGAAATATTTATAGTAGTTCTTTTCATAGTAACCCAAAACTGGAAACTAAAGGAGGTGTCCTCTTATTGGAGAATGGCAATATAAATTATAGTAGGTGAATATAATGGAAATATTTTTGCTCCATAAGAAATGGCAAAAAGGATCATTTCAGAGGAAATTGAAAACGGCTCCATGAGCCGGTGCAGAGTGAAGAGAGCAGAACTAGGAAAACAATTTATACAAAGACGACAACATAGAGAAAGCAACTTAACTTTGAAAAACTTAGGAACTCTGCTTTGCATGATTTCACATGTTTAGTTAATATCACATTGCTTGCCTTCTCAATGGGTGGGGGAGGAGCAAGAGAATTTGGAATTCAAAAATTCAAAGAAAAAGAGTGTTTTAAATAAATAATGTCTTTTAAAAAAGAAAGAAAAGAAAAACTTAAGAACTCTGATCAATGCAATAACCAAGCACGATTCTGGAGGACTGATGAGAAAGAAGACAACACACAGACACACACAGACACACACACACACACACACACACACCCCCTGCTGAAAAGGGAGGGGAAGGGCACCTGAGTAGGCACCCATGCCTGTAAAACTCTAGAAAGTCAGAAGCAGAGCCAGGAGGGAAATGAAGAAAGTTGGGTCTGGGTCCCTCCTCAAAAATGGAGGCCTGAGAAAAAACTCACCAAAGGGAGAAGGGGGCCAGCACAACAGAAGGATGTTCCAAGGTGAAGAGGCCCCAGGTGCTGAGGTGACAGAGGCACGGCAGGGTGCCAAGCACTGAGGATACAAAGAAAGACAGAAAGACATTCCCTGCCCTCAAGGAGCTCACAGTCCAATGGACAGAGACAACATGAAAACAACTACGTACCAACAAGATGTACTCAGGATAAACTGGAGATGGTCTCAGGGAAGGCATTGACAGAGACTTCTTGAAGCAGGTGAGATTTTAGCTGAGACCCAAAGGAAGCCAAATGGCAGAGGTGAGAAGAGAGAGAATTCCAGGCAAGGGCTCGGAGTCTGGAGATGGAGTGTCTTGTTTGTATAGCAAGGAGGCCAGCGTCACTGGATTGTAGAGTAGGTTGAGTGTGTTTGTTGGGGAGGGGAAGGCACTAGCTGCTGGGGGGATGGGAAAGGTGTCCTGCATTTGAACTCTGTCCTGAAGAAAGCCAGGGAGAATATAATATATGCAAATATAGTGTACATATATATAAATGCATATATACACATATCTAATAAGTGTATGAATCCATATCTATATATACTACATACATATTATATGTGTGTGCTGTATAGTGTGCATATATATAAATACATATATTATTGTTCTGTAGTTTCCGTTGTTCCTGACTCTTTGTGACCCCCTTTGGGTTCACATATATAATCTCTATAAATACATGCATACACATAGTACACATAAATACATGCATACATATGTGATATACATAAACACACATATATGTACTTGTGGTATACATATATACAAGCATATACATGTTATACATAGTCAACCCCAAAACAGAGTTTGTTCTAAGAAAAGAGACAAACAAAATTAGGTTATGTCCACATTTTTTAATTTCTCTCAAGCTGGCGACATGCATTGCAAGAGAGTTACGGTCCAGAACTGGCTCAGTTTAGGGGTTGGAGTGCCCAGTTTATATACCTTTTCAACAGAGGTTGAAATCATCCCACCTCCTGATGGAGGAAATATCTCTTCTATTAGTCCACTCCCCAACCATACCAGACCACTCCCAGCCTTGGGCTATCCAGGCAGAAGAATCTGTTTCCACCCAAGCCTGAGCAGATTAAATCAATTCAGGCTTGGGTTTGACCAGAATAAGAGTCAATGCAATCTCATTATCAGTAATGTCCTTCTGAAGAACTTTGGAAGAAGGGGGTGGGGGCTGGGGGGGGATCTTTTGAGTCTCCAAGATACTAATTACTAAGAGAGATTGTTTTTCACAACATAAATACATATATACACATATTGTATATATAAATACATGGGGTACGTGGGGTGTTCAGGGAGGACTGGTGCTCTGGTGTGAGATCTGCTGAGTCCTTCTTAGGGCTGCTCATCCACCATAAATACAAATATAGACACACACAAAACACATATAAATGCATATATGTGTATCACCCAGTATCTATACATATATACATGTATACAGATACATATACACCCAATATCATTGTGTAGTCAGAAATGATAAATACAAAGGATTCTGAGCATCCTACCACTGCTTGTCTAAACTATACAAAGGGCTAGAAATATGATTAGGAGAACATACCAAATGATTACAACAGTATAAATGAAAAGGTCACAGAAAGGCAACCAAACTCTGGGTCGATGAAAAACTAGCTCAGTAATGTTGTCTGGCCAACATGGTGGATGTTCCTATAAACCTTGTCTCTGACTGGGGAAAACAAAACAAAACAAAACAAAACAAAAAACTAGCAATGTTCTAAGAGGACAACTGATGAAGCACCTCTTTCTTCCTGGTGGGAGGGAGCTGGGGGTGGGGGACTATTGCTACCCACCACTTTTGAATGTTATCAACTTTGTCATA